ATAGAAATACTGGCTAATAAGAAAACTGTTAGTAAAAGAGCAACTTTTTATAATTAAACAATTAACACTGAAATTCCAAAATAAAAATCAGAATAATGGGTCATATGAAACATTTCCCCAGAGAAATGAGTCTCTGTCCCATTTTCGCCGTGGTGCTGCATGACCTGGGCGATGATTGATAGTCGCTGTGGCGAGGGGACGTGGTGTCATTCCTGGTCTTTCGAGTCTGAACCCTGCCCCTCGTGTGTGATAGCTCTGTTTGTTTTGGACCATAACCCCAGGATAACTTTGTAGGTGAGAACTTCATACTGAAGTAAGTAATCAATAGATGTTAATTGCTATATTATTTTTACATGATCATCATAATCAGAAATTATGAACTGTTTGGTGGTAAAAGTAGAAACCAGAGTCAGATTTCGGACTCAGGCTGTGGATTTATTTGTCCGTTTCATGTTCCTCGCTGCCTCCGCGGAATCTGGTATTGGGCAGCCTGTCATGGTGATGGAGCATAGATTTTGGTATCAGATCTGTATTCCTGCAACTGCTCCAAACTGCTGGCATGGTTGCTGCAAGGATTCACCATAACTTTTGAATCAGTGTTCTTCTCTCTGAAATAGGAGAAATACCCACATTGTGACTAGGTGGAGATAAGCTCACAATAATAAAATTATATGTTAACTATATATGTATATAGATAGATAGATAGATAGATAGATAGATAGATAGATAGATAGATGATAGATAGATAGATGGATATAACTCCTGCTTCACATAGGTTTTTCCAAACTTTCCTTCTCTTGTATTATGTTTACCAAAATACTTGAGCTTAGGGGACTGGCTTCCAAAATGAACTCTCTTCCCAACAAACAACCATTTAACGGGAGAAAATTATATACAACAATCATTTCACATTTCTAGAAAATGTTCTAAGGGCATTCAGCAAATGGAGAGTCATTCATCTAAGAAAACTCCACTAAATCTTGGTGAGAACCATGAGCGCCTGTGACATTGAACCACAACCCCTTCTTTCCAGCTCTGGCTTACGACACTGCTCTAGGGGGCCTAATCCAAGCTGGTGCCTTCTCCTCCGCACCCAGCATGAGGTGCTGATTTCACCCTCAGTCAGCGGGCTGCCAGCATCGCTCACCCCTCCAGCTGCAGTTTATTGCAGAAGTTCGAGAATCTAGACTAATGATGTAGAGAGGATGTGCTTTCTCTAACCCAGTCCCTACTCACAGGGTGGAAGCTGTCCCCCCGCTGACTGTTAGGGCAGGTCCTGGACCAGGAAAGGCAAGCCCAGAAGACTAGGGTCTGCCCATTGTGGAGCGCCAGTGTCACTCTGGGGCAAGTGGGCCACTTTGCCCACGTCTAGCTTCAGCCCTTGTGCAGGGGCACAGACATCCTGCCCAGAGGTCTGCAGCTCTGTCGGGAAGGGACAGAGCGTACAGCCAGCTCCGGAATACAATAAGCAACATGGTCAGTTGGACGTGTAACAGAGAGAACTAGGGAAGGAGACGGTCAGGAAAGACCCTGCTGGAGTCACGGGCCACGCTGGGGGCTGGGAAGGCTGTGCGTAAGTCAGCGAGGCTACACTCATGAGCGATCAGACAAGCACGAAGCAGGCGCAGAAACATTCCCCAAGCCGCGTGCGGATCTATCGGCAAACGGCAGAGACCTCCCTGGCACCGGGCCCTTCTGCACAACCTCTGACCAGCCACTGGCTGCCATTAAGCTGTTGTGACCCAGGGCGGAAGCTCCTAGGAAGCTAGACTTTAAAATAAAAAGGCATACGTTTCTGGCGTCTGGAAGACTGCACCTACCTGCAGTCTAACCGATAGCCACAGAATAAGTGCACCAGCATCAGCTGAACACACTGCTTCTCCCAGGACTATGTACGGGCAGGCAGAAGCATTTCTTCTTGACATGCTGAGGGCTTTTACTCAGCCAGGCTGGCTGGCTCCTCTCAGGCAGGTGAGGGATTTTGACCCAGATTCTAGAGTCTAGGGGTCTCCTTCCCAGCTATGAGGCCTTAGCCATTCAAATCACCCCATTCCCACAACCAGCAGTAGATCACCAGGTGCTCTCTCTACGTGTGTCAACTTTTTTGAAACCCAAAGCCCTGGGCTTTTATGGAGTTCCTCTTTGTGTTTGGATTGGCCCCAAATCCCTCTACCAACCCCAGCCACCTCCAAACAGAAACAAATGTAAGATGAAACACACACACATTCTCAGTCTCTATTTGATCTCCAAATATTTGAGTTGTCTCGGCAAGGCCCTGAGGGAGAAGAGAGCCAGGGATATGTATTCAGGCACATCGAAGTATCTTACTCTTCCATTCCTCTTATTTTTACTTTATTATAGGTTATTATTATATTCTGTGTAGCATACTGTTAAGTCAGTTGAAATCCATTTTGGAGGTAAGATGGCGTATAAACAAACTGATTCTACTTGGTCTGCATGTTTAAAAACAAAACGGAACATCCTCAATTTTTAGCGTCCCAGTAGCCTTTTGACCTTAAGGCGAGAAATACACGGGGAGGTTCGGCTGTATGAATACATTGAAAGCATCCTAATCAAAGAATTTCCTTGTGAGGTTCCTTCCTTCCTTCCTTCCTTCCTTCCTTTCTTTTTAATCTCAGTAATACTATTCAACTCAAGACATTTTAGTTTTATAGAAACCCAGGGACAAATTGGTGACAAATGTGTGTGCTTTAATTTTTAGAATTGGTGGAGAGTCATTTACAAATCATTGTGATAGCTCAGTTGGCCTATAAATGTCTTGCGGACCAAGCAGTGACTGAACAGCCTTTTCTGTACCAAAAAGAGAGGTCTCCCAAAGGTTTCGAGGCAATTCAGTGTTCCATGTGCTCGCTAAGGTTACTATGAAAGGCTAGTGTGGTGGACAGAGGGCCCTAGCAATACCACTCCAGAAGCTGAGTTGGATAAGCCACTCAAAGTACCTGGGCCTCAGCCCCCTCCTTTGTAAATGGAACACAACCTCATCCTCCCTTCCATCTTCTAAGTGTTGTAAGAATGTATTACTTTGTTCTTTGCAATATGAAGTTTCCTGTGTGGCTAGTGAGACATCTTACTAGAAAAACGTACTCCCATGAAAATGTATTGTAAACTGCACAAACTCATGTCATCAGCTTTCTTTGAACAGAATTATACTCATTTGTCTTTACGTTTTGAGTACTTAAAAAAAAAAAAAGGCCTTGGCTGTTGGTCCATTTAAAATGAATAAGTGCACTTTTATCAAGAAGTTAATTAGAATTCTTTTCTATAGGAGACTATGATGTGTTTTTTGGATTGTTTTATGATTTCCTAACTAAACACATTGGAAAGAAACAATGGTTAGTATATTTTTTAAAAATCAAATCAAGCCTTTTTTCATATTCCATTTGTTAGCATAATAGTTTTATGTGTTAATTTTGTCTGTTTATTCACGCATTTTTGCTATTAATCTCAGAAGTGGGACTTTGAGCTCCTGTTTCACATAAACAAAAATATATA